GCAAGAAGCGAGACCCGTCTCTACTATAAATGAAAGAAATATTGGCCAGTAATATATATAAAAAATTAGCCGGCATGGTGCGCATGCTGTAGTCCCAGTACCGGGAGCTGAGGCAGAAGGATCCTCGACCAGGAGTCTGAGGTTGCTGTGAGCTAGGCTGACGCCACGGCACTCACTCTAGCCTGAGCAACAAAGCGAGACTCTTCTCAAAAAAAAAAAAACAAACAAAAAAAAACAAAAGACTTGAATACCACTCCACAAAAGAGGAATTTCATATGGGCAATAAACATATGAAAAAGTGCTCAATATCATTAGTCATTAAAAAAATGAATGACAACTACAATGAGATACCATTACACTCTATCAGAATAGTAAACTGAAATAGACTGATAAGTGTAAAGATGGGGAGAGACTAAAACTCTCCATTGCGGGTAGCAATATGATATAGCCACCTTGAAAAAGTATGTGGCAGTATCTACTATTGCTAAAAATGTTTACCTATGACTAATAATTACACTCCTAGATATGTATCAATAAAACTGAGTGCTTATGTCCACCAAAGAGACATGAACAGCTTATATTCATAGTAGTCCAAACTGGAGACAAGTCAAATGTCCATTAACAAGAAAGGGTAATAAATTGAACATAGTCATATAGAATACTACATCAATGAATAAGCATGACCTATTGCTACATGCAATAACACAGATGCATCTGCAAACAATGAAAGAAACTGGACACAAAGAGTACACAGGCATAATCCACTGATATGAGTTCAGAAACAGGCAAAACCAATCTAAATGGACAGAAGTCTGAATTTTATTCCCTTGGTAGGGCTACTCACTGGGAGGAGATGACATGAGGGGCTTTCGGGAGCTGGAATGTCTTTATCTGATCTGGGTGGGCTACACAGATATACATAGATGAAAATTAATCAAACTGTACACTTAGGATTTGTGAACTTTACTGTGTACAAGTTACACTAAAATAAAACCCAAAGGTTCTTGTCATTTAGACATAGATATTTCCACAAATGGAATGATACGATGTGTATGATTTGCTTCAAAATAATTAGGAAGAAGAGTGGGGGTATGAACAACATAAGATTGTCTATGTAGTGACAGCTGTTGAAGTTAGATGATATGCTGTGGGATTTGTCATACTGTTTGGTTTACTTTTGCATATATTTGGAAATTTCTTTAAAAGATTTAAAACTTGGCATTCTTGAAAGTTTTCATTATAGAGTTTACTTACAGTTTCAATTGCCATTTCTATTGCTGCATTATCTTCTGAGCTGGGGCATTTCAGGAAGTGTTTAAGTGCCTGAAATAAGAATTGTATGGCAATTAAAAATTTCAGACTGTTTTCACACAGGGAAAAACAAAGCTTTCACACATACAAAGTATAGTAGTTTATGAAGTATCTTCATCTCAACAGGGCTTGTAGTTGTAAAGCGCTGGGTCTTAAAATAAACTTAAAGCTGGGTATAGTCTGAAAACAATGGAATGATCCAGTTAACCTCCTGAAGAATCTAGTCTGATTTCTAATGAAATGAAATGCAAAATGTGCCCTTTCCACTCTTTTATCTTTGACAATATTTATGACAACCTGTTACCATACATAGACTGTGCCAGATACTGTGAAAATACCAGAAAGGGTATGATACGTCCTCTTTCTGTGTTATGCACAATCTAATGGGGAGATCTTGTGATGTGATGATAATATAAGGAACCAATATTTTAAGTCCTCAACACCACACCACTACACCTAGAAAGAATTTAAGATTATAAAGCTTAAAAACAAATGCTCAGGTAGCCAGTGGTTTATGGTGCTCTGAAGAAGAAAAGAGGTCATGCATGGGTGACCTGACGCGTCGTAGAGAAAAAGACTGGAAGGATGAACAGGTCGTGGTAGGTGATGCAGAAAGGAGTCTGATGGAGGAGAGGATAGGGAAAGGCTACCTGTATGAGTTAGTATAGGATTCTTATGGAACAGGTGGATGCCAGATTGGGAAGTCAGGCTGGTGGTCAAATGTGGAATTCTCTCGGTATCAGCTAAGGAGCTGGTCTGTATTTAAAACTAGAGACCAGACTTCTGTTTGTCTTTTAAAAACCTATGAGCCACCGCGCCCAGCCCGGAGCTTAAATATATTAAGCATAGAGGAAAAGGATCCCAAAGCTGCTGGAGTTCTAATTGTTTACATTTACCTATGGAAGTTAGAGGTCCAATAAGATACTAAAGTATAACAACTGCTCAGCACCCCAGCCCAAGAAAGATAGTGGAATTTATAAGAGAAAGGAGTAAAGCAAGGTGATGAAAAGTGTGTGTGTGTTGTGGGGGTAGGAGGAGACATATATATATTTTATAGAGGACAAGCCAGATCCATAAGAACTTAGAAAAACTTAAATGCTTCAGTACAATGTTAATGTGTAATGTTAGAACAGAAATGTCGAATTAAACATTGGCAATTCTAAAGTTGCTTGTATCTGTACTTCCTTTTTTCTTTAGCTCTTTACTTTCTTCAATTACTGTAATGATTTCCCAAGATACTAGAAATGCTTTTACCTGTTTGTTCCCTTGAACACTAAAACAAAAATTTTCTCATGAATCTTATCATCGATTCTTATGGTCATTTTGTGAATTTTAAAAAACAAAACACAAGAGGACAAATATTTTATGATTTCACTTAGATGAGGTACCATGAATAGTCAAATTCAGAGAGACAGAAAGTAAAATAGTGGTTACCAGGGGCTAGGAGGAAGAGGAGAATAGGGAGTTATTCTTTAACGGGTACAGAGACTTAGTCTGAGATGGAAATGCTCTAGAGATTGGCAGTGGTGACTGCTGCACGACAGTGTGAAGAGATTTAATGTAAATAGTCTTCTATTAGTAGGTGATTCCAGAACTACAACAGAAAGTTTCACTGAGTAAAAATATCTGAGCAAAATTTTGTTTACCTTTTACTGCTAAACTAAAATAAGATCTAAAAACGTGATCTAAAAATATGTGATTAAAAATTCTTAACAGCAAATCAATGCTATTATTGAGTGTCTGTTTTCATCACAAACAAAAAATTCATCATAATCATCCAAATATTAACTCTATTCCTCTTTTCATTCTAACAGGAATCAGCAGAGAAATTATAAAGTTTTGAGAATCTAGGTTAGGGTTTGCCATCAACCTTTGAGATCTTTATTATTTTTTTGAATCTTAGTCTCATTTCCTAAAACAATAACTGTGACTATAACCCCAATCATCATTTGCCTAGTTTCAGAACAATCAGAAGCAAAGTTAATCATCACATACACATAATCAACCTCCCTTTTTTAGCAATGCCTGATTAAATAGTCTGTGTATATTTATTAGACAAGTAGTGAAGATAATATTCAAGTGGCTTAAGTACTTAAGATATTACTGTTTTTCCTTTGCTTTGGGGCTTAAATATATATATATATATATATATATAATATATATTATATATTACTATTTATATATATTTTTTTTTTTTTTTTTTTTGAGACAGAGTCTCCTTTGTTGTCCAGGCTAGAGTGAGTGCCGTGGCGTCAGCCTAGCTCACAGCAACCTCAACTCCTAGGTCAAGCCTCCCGAGTAGCTGGGACTACAGCATGTGGCCACCATGCCGGCTAATTTTTATATATAATATCAGTTGGCCAATTAATTTCTTTCTATTTATAGTAGAGATGGGGTCTTGCTCTTGCTCAGGCTGGTTTGAACTCCTGACCTCGAGCAATCCTCCTGCCTCCGCCTCCCAGAGAGCTAGGATTACAGGCGTGAGCATTAGTCATTAAAAAAATGAATGACAACTACAATGAGATACCATTACACTTCTATCAGAATAGTTAAACTGAAATAGACTGATAAGTGTTGGTAAAGATGGGGAGAGACTAAAACTCTTCCATTGCGGGTAGCAGCTAAATTGATATAGCCACCTTGAAAAAAGTATGTGGCAGTATCTACTATTGCTAAAAATGTTTACCCTATGACCTAATAATTCTACTCCTAGATATGTATCCAATAAAACTGAGTGCTTATGTCCACCAAAAGACATGAACAGCTTTATTCATAGTATGTCCAAACTGGAGACAAGTCAAATGTCCATTAACAGAGAAAAGGGTAAATAAATTGTGACATAGTCATATAGAATACTACACATCAATGAATAAGCATGACCTATTGCTACATGCAATAACACAGATGCATCTGCAAACAATGAAAGAAACTGGACACAAAAGAGTACACAGGCATAATTCCACTGATATGAAGTTCAGAAACAGGCAAAACCAATCTAAATGGACAGAAGTCTGAATTTTGATTTCCCTTGGTAGGGGCTACTCACTGGGAGGAGATGACATGAGGGGGCTTTCTGGGGAGCTGAGAATGTTCTTTATCTTGATCTGGGTGGGGGCTACACAGATATACATAGATGAAAAATTAATCAAACTGTACACTTAGGATTTGTGAACTTTACTGTGTACAAGTTACACTAAAATAAAACCCAAAGGTTCTTGTCATTTAGACATAGATATTGTATCCACAAATGGAATGATACGATGGCTATGATTTGCTTCAAAATAATTTAGGGAAAGAGAGTGGGGGGTATGAACAACATAAGATTGTCTATGTAGTGACAGCTGTTGAAGTTAGATGATATGTCTGTGGGAGTTTGTCATACTGTTTGGTTTACTTTTGCATATATTTGGAAATTTCTTTTAAAAGGTTTTTAAAACTTGGCATTCTTGAAAGTTTCATTATAGAGTTTACTTACAGTTTCAATTGCCATTTCTATTGCTGCATTATCTTCTGAGCTGGGGCATTTCAGGAAGTGTTTAAGTGCCTGAAATAAGAATTGTATGGCAATTAAAAATTTTCAGACTGTTTTCACACAGGGAAAAACAAAGCTTTCACACATACAAAGTAATAGTAGTTTATGAAAGTATCTTCATCTCAACCAGGGGCTTGTAGTTGTAAAGCGCTGGGTCTTAAATAAATACTTAAAAGCTGGGTATAGTCTGAAAACAATGGAATGATCCAGTTAACCCTCTGAAGAATCTAGTTCTGATTTCTAATGAAATGAAAATGCAAAATGTGCCCTTTCACTCTTTTATTCTTTTGACAATATTTATTGACAACCTGTTACCATACATAGGGACTGTGCCAGATACTGTGAAAAATACCAGAAAGGGTATGATACGTCCCCTCTTTCTGTGTTATGCACAATCTAATTGGGGAGATCTGTGTGATGTGATGATAATATAAGGAACCAATTATTTTAAGTCCTCAACACCACACCACTACACCTAGAAAGAAATTTAAGATTATAAAGCTTAAAAGACAAATGCTCAGTGTAGCCAGTTGGTTTTATGGGTGCTCTGAAGAAGAAAAGATGGTCATGCATGGGGGTGACCCTGACAGCGTCGTAGAGGAAAAAGGACTGGAAGGATGAACAGGTCTGTGGTAGGTGATGCAGAAAGGAGTCTGGATGGAGGAGGAGGATAGGGAAAGGCCTACCTGTATGAGTTTAGTATAGGATTCTTCTATGGAAACAGGTGGATGCCAGATTGGGAAGTTCAGGCTGGTTGGTCAAAATGTGGAAATTCTCTCGAGTATCAGCTAAGGAGCTGGGTCTGTATTTTAAAACTAGGAGACCCAGACTTCTGTTTGTCTTTTTAAAAATCCTATGATCTCTCATTATTCAGCCAAACTCCCGAATGTCAACAATTGCTGGAAGAGTAGCTGTCCCTGTCAGACTAGACATGTGCCATCCAGCAGTCCCTGCGTTGCACGTGATCAATGCACAACTTACCCACAACTACTACTATTAAGTCCCTTGTTTGGACACCTTAACTCTTGCCTTAGGTGAAGGGGCTCTTTAACAATAAAAGCAACTACACTGTGGGGACAAAATGAAGGATGAGTTACAGGCAGAGAAACTGAAAACAGGAAACCATCACAGTAATCAGAAGCAAGACAACCTTGGAATGACATGATGGTAGTTAGAATGAAAAGTGACAGAGGTGAGAGAGATTATGAAGGAAGATTGTAATTGGAGAGGAAGGTTTCAAAGTTGGCTCTGAGATTTCAAATTGGTTTTGTCTGGGAACATACTGGCATTTACAAATATTTCCTATAATCATTCCTATGGAGTCCAGTAGGTGCTTTCTTGGCAAATACTAACTCGTGAATACTGGCCACACAGCAAGAAGAATTTTCCAGCCTGAAAATGTCTTTTTTCTCCTTCAAAGTATAAGGCAATGCTTTGATAGTCTTCATTAGTAGTGTCTCCAGAACCTACAACAGAAGTTCACTGAGTAAAATATCTGAGCAAAATTTGTTTACCTTTTACTGCTAAACTAAAAATAAGATCTAAAAACGTGATCTAAAAATATGTGATTAAAAATTCTTAACAGCAAAAATCAATGCTATTATTAGTGTCTGTTTTCATCACAAAACAAAAAATTCATCATAATCATCCCAAATATTAACTCTATTCCCTCTTTTCATTCTAAACAGGAATCAGCAGAGGAAATTATAAAGTTTTTGAGAATCTAGGTTAGGGTTTGCCATCAACCTTTGAGATCTTTATTATTTTTTTTGAATCTTAGTCTCATTTCCTAAAACAATAACTGTGACTATAACCCCAATCATCATTTGCCTAGTTTCAGAACAATCAGAAGCAAAGTTAATCATCACATACACATAATCAACCTCCCTTTTTTAGCAATGCCTGATTTAAATAGTCTGTGTATATTTATTAGACAAGTAGTGAAGATAATATTCAAGTGGCTTAAGTACTAAAGATATTACTGTTTTTCCTTTTGCTTGGGCTTAAATATAATGATATATATATAATATATATACTACTATATATTTTTTTTTTTTTGAGACAGAGTCTCACTTTGTTGTCCAGGCTAGAGTGAGTGCCGTGGCGTCAGCCTAGCTCACAGCAACCCAAACTCCTAGGCTCAGCCTCCCGAGTAGCTGGGACTACAGCATGCTGCCACCATGCCCGCTATTTTTTATATATATACTATCAGTTGGCCAATTAATTCTTTCTATTTATAGTAGAGACGGGTCTTGCTCTTGCTCAGGCTGGTTTTGAACTCCTGACCTCAGCAATCCGCCTGCCTCGCCTCCCAAGAGAGCTAGATTACAGGCGTGAGCCACCGCGCCCAGCCCGGAGCTTAAATATATTAAGCATAGAGGAAAAGGATCCCAAAGCTGCTGGAGTTCTAATTGTTTACATTTACCTATGGAAAGTTAGAGGTCCAATAAGATCTAAAGTATAACAATTGCTCAGCACCCCAGCCCAAGAAAGATAGTGGAATTTATAAGAGAAAGGAGTAAAGCAAGGTGATGAAAAGTGTGTGTGTGTTGTGGGGGTAGGAGGAGACATATATATATTTTATAGAGGACAAGCCAGATCCATAAGAACTTAGAAAACTTAAATGCTTCAGTACAATGTTAATGTGTAATGTAGAACAGAAATGTCGAATTAAACATTGGCAATTCTAAAGTTGCTTGTATCGTACTTCCTTTTTCTTTAGCTCTTTACTTTTCTTCAATTACTGTAATGATTTCCCAAGATACTAGAAATGCTTTACCTGTTTGTTCCCTTGAACACTAAAACAAAATTTTCTCATGAATCTTATCATCGATTCTTATGGTCATTTTGGAATTTTAAAAACAAAACAAAGAGGACAAATATTTATGATTTCACTTAGATGAGGTACCATGAATAGTACAAATTCAGAGAGACAGAAAGTAAAAAGTGGTTACCAGGGCTAGGAGAAGAGGAGAATAGGGGAGTTATTCTTAACGGGTACAGAGACTTAGTCTGAGATGGAAAGGCTCTAGAGATTGGCAGTGGTGACTGCTGCACGACAGTGTGAAGAGATTTAATGTAACCTAACTACTGCACACTTTTTTTTTTTTTTTTTTTTTGAGACAGAGTCTCGCTTTGTTGCCCAGGCTAGAGTGAGTGCCGTGGCGCAATAGCCACAGCAACCTCAAACTCCTGGGCTTGAGTGATCCTTCTGCTCAGCCTCCGGTACTGGGACTACAGCATGCGCACCATGCCCGGCAATTTTTTATGTATATATCAGTTGGCCATTAATTTCTTTCTATTTATAGTAGACGGGGGTCTCGCTCTTGCTCAGGCTGTTTTGAACTCCTGACCTCGAGCAATCGCCCGCCTCGGCCTCCCAAGAGCTAGGATTACAGGCGTGAGCCACAGCGCCCGGCCAACTGCACACTTTTAAATGGAAATTTTATGTTATGTATATTTTAGCACAATCTTAAAAACCAAAGCAAAACAACACAAATAACATTATATTATAGTCCACAAAATGAAAATCTGAAAATCATTTCAGTAATTTCTAAGAATAATTAAAAACATGGTGCTGCTTCTAGTACTTGTAAAAAAAAATGGGAAGAAAACCTATAAGCAGGTATTCTCAGCATATAGAATTCTCTTTTAGACCTTCAAAATCTTTAAAAATCACATTCTGTATATATCACTCTTAATCAAAGCAGTCATATATTCTTAATTTGTAACTCAATTTTTAAAATTTATGAAAATATTTACATCTCCAAAAATCATCCTCCTGGCCGGGCACGGTGGCTCACGCCTGTAATCCTAGCTCTCTGGGAGGCCAAGGCGGGCAGATTGCTCAAGGTCAGGGGTTCGAAACTACCCTGAGCAAGAGCGAGACCCCGTCTCTACTATAAATAGAAAGAAATTAATTGGCCAATTAATATATATAGAAAAATTAGCTGGGCATGGTGGCACATGCCTGTAGTCCCAGCTACTCGGGAGGCTGAGGCAGGAGGATCGCTTGAGCCTAGGAGTTTGAGGTTGCTGTGAGCTAGGCTGACGCCACGGCACTCACTCTAGCCTGGGCAACAAAGTGAGACTCTGTCTCAAAAAAAAAAAAAAAAAATCATCCTCCATTTCCTATCACCTTCATTTTGAAATCTTTACCTCTACTGGTTGATAAATAGTAGAGTTTTGGAAATCTAGAATTCACCCCCAAAACCCTTAATTTTTAAAAATAGCCCTTTTTCTAATACCATCTCATCTTTAAGTAAGTAGGGATCTTGAAATCTATCAAGTAGCATCCAGGGCTGTGTGTGTCTATGTTTACATCGTAACATTCACACCCAGGGTGCTTGCGTGTGTATCAATCTGATAATTAGATCTCGAGAGTCAAAGTGTTTTATGATAAAAACCTTTAACATAAATCAGGGGAAACAATATTTACCAATAATGTCTGCATAGATTTCCATTTTGTTGTGTTGCTGAGCCAGTGTGAAAGCTTCATTGTTACACTTGGACATGACAAGAAACTGGATGGCGGACCCATAGTCACCTAGCTGTAGAAAGAACCTATAACAAAGTACTTGACTTAGTACTTGATTAGCTTGACTCTTATATAAAATAAGTTTGTGATTTACAAAATAAAATCGTTTTCAACCAGGAGAAACCATTTAAAAATAAAAACTTATTAGTAAACTGTAGTTCTACATTACATGCTTATACTTGAAAAACATACTCTTACAGTGAATGCAATAGCCTTTGATTAAATACCTCACCCTAATAAAAACATTTAAAAGATTAATATTCCTTTTGAATTCATTTGATAAGGGGAGGCGACGGCTTTCTTTTAAGGTTAGTTTTTGAAAGTCCAAAAATTTTAATGCATTATGTTACCTGGCTACCATTTTGGCTCCATCCAGAGACTGGGTCTCTCTGACAATACTGACAGCTTTTTCGGGATTATTGAGGTGATCCAGATAGATGCGGATCACACTGTTCCACTGTTTTGCATTCTCATAAGCCACAACAGCTTCTTTGTATCTGTAAAAAACACTTAATTCAGACAAACTTGCTTAACACTGTCAATTTGGGGGAAAATGTCAACAAATGTTTGGGACACCTTCCTGTTTTACTGATGGTGGCTGCTTATTTTTCTTGGATTTCTTTTTCCTTCATCAGAAAAAAAATACCAGAAACCATACCACTAAAATATGTTCTTTTTAGGAGTTCAATAAATTAACAGTAAAATGCCAATATTGAATTATATTTTCTAATCTGAATCAAAGCTATATAATTTTTTACATTTTACTTTTTTTCTTTTTGAGAGGATTATGATAATAACATGGGATTCTTTTAGATAACATAGAAAATACAGAATTTTCCCCAATAATATAGTTTAACGGTGATATATAAAATCTGTGTGTCAACCTCTAGATGGAGCTCAGAGCTTCCCTTCAGTTCTGACCAGCTCTTCACTCATTCCATTTCAATAAGACATTTAGTGCACATTTCTATTTCCTAAGGTTACTTTCCCAAAAGTGGAGGGTTATTAGACTTTTAACTATCTTAATAAACATTTCCAAGTTATGTTCTAGAGGCTATAGAAATTTATACTTGTCAGTCATGTACAAGTTCATCTTGACAGTATGGTTATTAGATTAACAATAAGTGTTTCCAAATATGACAGGTTGCTTTAATTACTATGAGTGAGGTAGAACTTTTTCATGTTTACATGAAGTATAATTTCATATTGTATTTCCACCTCTGGGACTTGTCTTTAGCCCATTTTCCTGTTAGTGTCTTTGAGTTTCTTGTATTTAGTTGTAGGAGCTCTTTGTATATTTAGGATATTAACTATCCATTGCTATATTTTAATACTGTTTTGTGGTTTGAACAGTGATGCCATATATGTGGAATTCATGTTTCTTCACTTTTCTTTACATCTGTATCCCTAAGTTATCCTCCTTAATAAAACGATCCCTTAACTTCATTTTCATGCCACATTGTATAATAATTTAACTTCTACTATTTAATCCTCAAAAAAAGAAAAAAAAGACAGTAGTCTTTGTTTCAGTATGTGAAGGAAGGAATGAGGTATATGAGATATAGGAAGATTTTAATAGTCTGACACTTGAGGCCATAGAAGGGTATATAAAGATGTTTTCTGTCTTTCTCTGTTTTGCCTTTCTTAGAGGGTTGCAAATATCAATTTAATTTATAAAACTTACATTACTTAAAATTTTTATAAATTTGAGAAATTGTACAAACCTTCCATCTGCTTCTTTAGCTTTGGCATACTGCAAGTGGATCTTAGGAGAAGAAACATGAGGCAGAAGCTCACCAACTTTTGCCCTAGAGATGTAGGTTCAAGAGAATAATATCAGCACTACATTCACTCCAAAAGTAGCTTCCTACAATAAAATATTACTTTTTAGGATTCAAAAAATAGTTATCAAGATCTTTCAAAATTCTTGGCTCCCATAGGTAAGAGAAGATTTAGTTGCTTTTTCTCTTACACCCACCACCCAAGTATGGGAAAATGAAGGTTAATCTATTAATTCTTCTAAGACAACAGGGTCATTGTTTGTTTTTTCCTAGTAATGTATCCAATCTGGGATTTGCCCACACCAAACCAATAGCATATGCTGTTCTTTGGAAAAAGAACTATTAATATAAACTCATTTAAGGAGAATAAAGAGATGGAGGCCAGGCACAGACAAGGGAACATAATGGACATGAAGGAAGCATGGCAAGTGGACAAGTGGGAGGACCCTGGGGACACATTCCTTTCTAAACCTGCTCAGAAATAAAACATAGCCAACTCTTACCAATTCTTACAGCGGATGTAAACAGATGCTGCTTTATCATAGTAGAGACCTTTTTCATATAGTTGGGCTGCTTCTGAAAATTGCTAAAATAATATGGGATTATTAAAATACTAAATTTATTATGTATAAGACCACATGAATATTTAGACAGAGAAAAGAAGACCTTCATATTCTCCAGTATGGCTCCACAGTCTCTTTTAAGGACCCTGCTAGGATGCTTGAGGGCTTGGTTAACTCCTCGGCGTATGTCCCCCATTCTTATGGACATCTGGGCCACTCCAGCCAGACACAGTTCATCGTGTTCCTGCAATTATAAGGCAAATACTAACAAATCAGACCCCACTTAACATGACATATTTCAGTCAGAACAATGAATTTAAATCTAAAATGAGTCCAATGGTTATGGTTTAATTTCATTTATCTTTTCAGAGACGTCTCATGATTTTGAAGTAACATTGAGTCTTTTTTTAAAACCAGCTATTACAAAGTTATATTTTGTTCTTCAGATGTCTCCCCTTGTCATGATATCTTATATGTCTTCTTGGTATAAAATTCTATATAAGCAGCATATACTGGCTGTAAAGTAACCAATCAAATCGAAGTAACCAACCAATTGGTTAAAAGCAACCAATCAAATCAAATATTTCTCTACCAGGCATGAATAAACAAAAAAACTTTATTTAGAATTGTTCAATGAATTAAAGATAACAAAGACACCTAAAAAGAACCTTTCAAATAACTCATCTGTACTAGTAAAATGTAACGTTGGATACTTTATTTAAAGCATGTCTAGAATTTTCTGTGAAACAAATATCTGCCACTATATTGTACTGGGCATTTGAAATATGGCTAGTGTGACAAATTGAATTTTAAATTTTATTTAATTTTAAATAACCTACATAGCCACACATGGTTACTGTATGGGAAAGTACAGATAAACAATGAACCAAAATAGATATAGCCAAACAAAGAAAATGTCAAAAACCCAAGAGAAAAATGAGCAAAGGATATGATTAGGCAATTCAGAAAAAAAAAATATAATTGGCCAATAACTAAATAAAAACATGCTCAACTTCACTAATAATCAAATATACACAAAATAAAATTTTTTGTGCTAATCAAATTGGTAGAGATAAACAGCTGTTAACATTAAGTGTTGTTGAGAATGTGGATACTCATGCACGCAATGGTATGAATTACTACAACTTCTTCTGGAGAGCAACTTAGCAATATAAAAATGAAAATCATATTTTATGACCTAGAAATCACACTTATGAGAAAATATTCTTCAGAAATACCATCTTAGGTAGCTAAAGATACATGTACTAGGTAGAATATTCATTGTAGTGTTTTTGGTTAATAGAAAAAACCTCAACAACTATAATTCAATAAGGGAGTAGACAAAACAATTATGGTATATCTAAGCAATGGGATATTAGAAGCTCTTAAAAGATTAAGACAGGTTCATATGTATTGACTTGGAAAGGCCATGAAGAAAGCAAAATACTACTTTGCACAGAGTAGATACTCAGTTGATCTTTGCTAAATAAATGGAAATGAATCATTTCATTTTTAGTAAAAAATCCATATTACATACATGCTTAGAAGAGATTCTGGATAGAAATATATAAAATCACTAATAGTTGTTACCATTAAAGGGTATGGATGGAGCTGAGAATATTGGACTCTCACTTCTCATGTTAATATACTTTGGTAATTTTTAAAAATTGCTATAATTAGGTTGCATTACTTACATAATAAAAAATGCTAGATACAAAACAGAAAATAAAAGTATTTTCAATCTTTAAAAAAAATATCACCTAACTTAAAAACAGCATTTATTACAAATCTTAGCTTTTTGAGCTAAAATTCTGGGATGGCAGAATGAGGTGGCACAGTGAGTACACGCTTTCTAGGTTCATCCTAAAAGTTACAGTATGAGAGATGAAATGGCAGAATGAACTTTTATGGACTGGGAATTTACTTTCAAAATGGTTTTTGAAACTTAAAAAGTAAAATCATAGCCTATAAGTTAGAAGGGATAAAAATCTTATTTCCAACTTTGGAAGCTCATATTTAGGATGTAATGGAAAACCTCTTTCAGGTTGATAAAAATATTGTCATCTTCAGTTTTGAAGAAGTTTAAAGTGTTTTGAAATGATTTAAGTGTATCCTTACAAAGCTGTTAATAAACTGAAAAAGGCTCACCTGCTAGATGCTGAATAAATACAATACAAATAAGACCATGATTTTTAAAAATGAAACTGAAAACAAACTCAAAGATAATTATGCATATTTTATCTTTATTCAAGGTTACCTTATTATCACCTGTCATTCCTTTCTCATAATGAGCCAAAGCATTTACATAATCACCCCTAAAAGAAAAATCAGAGTAAATTTTAATATATTAGAATTTTATTTACATATACAAGACTTAAAAGGTACTCTTTGTCACTGAGTTGCTTATGCTGACAAAAGATGTGCTAACCAACAGATGCATTCTTTCAAAGTGTAGTCCATCATTACTTTGCTACTTTAAAAATAATTATTAAACAGGATTATGCTACACTGTAAGGTACTATGTGATAGGTTAGCCATTTTGGGGAGCTATGTTAAATTTTATGAGACACTTTTGGTTAATTATTTCCTTTGGGGCACTAAATGACAATCATATGACCATAAAAACCAAAGTTTTTCTTTTTTTCCAAAGACTTGATATTTATAAGAATATATGTTGAGAGAACTGTGTGGCTGTCAATTTATTAAAGGATAGAAATGGAGGAACATACTGGGGATTAGAGTATTAAGGGCCCTGGTTCTTGCTATGAGGAAAAGTATTATGGTATAAATAATAACGTTCCCTATTCCCATGACTGATGCTAACGTGGATCTGCATATCAGTAAGACATACTTATTATTTCAATTTACTTTCATTATTGGGACAGAATGAGTCAATGATTTCCCTAAGGCCTTTTTTTTCTTTTCTCTCTCAGCACTAATAAAAGCTTTCATCTCTTTTCCTTCAGTGGCCTAAGATCCTTTTTGAAATCCATCTTCCTCTAAGAAACCATCTCCTCCAGAATAAATTTAATCAGCTCTGAAAATGGCACTGAGATCTACCTTGTCTCTACTTTGTTAGCATAGGCAAGTTATTCGACCTTTCTAAGCCTCATTCAGTTTCCTCATCTATTGATGCACAAGGAAATTTTTGGAAAAGAAGCTGTTCTGCTGATTGAGAACTTTGTTTTGGTCAGCCCAAGGCTTCACAGTCAGTAATGTTCCTGAATGGAAATTTCTAATAGTTGCCCCCAATTACATCAACCAAGCTAAGGATGTCTCCTGACAATAGGAACGATGGTTCCTCCTTCAGGGGCCTGAGGGTTTCCTTGGGCAAGCTCAACTAGGAGGTGCTAAATTAAGATTTTTTTTATTTTTTTTTTATTTTGAGACAATCTTGCTCTGTTTTCTGGGCTAGAGTGCTATGGTGTCAGCCTAGCCCACAGCAACCTCAAACTCCTGGGCTCAAGTGATCCTCCTGCCTCAGTCTCCCAAGTAGCTGGGACTACAGGTATGTGCCACCACACCCAGCTAATTTTTTCTATTTTTAGAAGAGACGGTCTCTCTCTTTCTCAGCCTGGTCTCAAACTCCTGACCTCAATCGATCCTTCTGCTTCAGCCTCCCAGAGTGCTAGGATTACTGGCGTGAACCACAGCACCCGCCTGGAACTCTCATTATTTTTATGTTGTTATTTTAACTCTCATTTTGTTACTGTTTTAAAACTCTCATATGGATCTAGTGCGTTAGTCTAATGCCAGACTGGAGAGTTAAATCTCTCCCACACTTGAGAAAAATTAGCTGAGTGTGGTGGTACAACACTTGTAGTCCCAACTACTTAGGAGGCTGAGGCAGGAGGACCACTTGAGCCCAGGAGCTTGAGGCTACAGTGAGCTATGATGATGCCACTGCACTCTAGCCCAGGCAACAGAGTGAGACCTTATCTCAGAAAAAAAAGAAAAGACAGAAAGAAAGAAAGAAAATGAAGAACTATGTAAATTTTTTTTTTTAAATCAAATGTTAGAACTATATTTCCTTTGTACAAAGACTAATATTTCCCCACATTTTAATATTTTTGAAATTGGAATATATCTTATAATAAATATAAAAAATTGGTTGTGATATAGTTGCCATTGCATAACATGTATTAATTTATATTTGCAAATAAATCTTCATTTATTTTCTCTGTAGGTATTTGCATTGGTAGCACTAATCATGGCTGAATGTTAACTTAAAATGGGATCCTGAGTGCCTCTAAAATTATACTTTTATGCAGAATTGAAATAAAAATGTATGGTCTGTCAAGACTGTTGAGAATTAAGATGGTCTAGCAATTAAGAGGACTAGAAAATTCTGAATTTTTCAGAATAGATTATGGAATTTCCAAAGATAGGAGAGATGTGTGAACCCTATTCATGCATTACAAAGAATTATTACACAAGCATTGAATATCCTCCTGTGAAAAGCTTCTGGCTTGATTTTCAACGCTAACTAATTTTCATCCATATGCAACTGAGCTTAAAAAAGAAAAAAAAAAAACCTACAATTTTAAGCAACTAAATGATGTAGACCAAATCTTGGTGTTTTTTTAGTATGCCTTGAAATTACATAGCAAAGTGTTAAAAGATGTCAGGACCGTAAGCACAGGTTATGAAAAGCAGTGAGTCACCCTGATGCTATGAGTAATTGTTGATGTCCAAATATGATTCAAAACAATATTTAGACACTAAATATAGAAAAGGCTTAGGCCCAGAATTAGATTTTGATGTTGAAAACTTAAAGCAGATAAATGCAAGGGTAAGACATTATTAGTTAGAAAAAACTAATTAGTTAGAAATAACTATACATTTTTTAGATGTATAATTAATATAGTTTTTAAAAATTTTTTTAAAACAATTTTGTTTCATAATATTACAGGGGTACAAACATTTTGGTTACATGAGTTGCTTTTGTACCATTTGAGTCAGAGTTGTAAGTGTGCCCATCACCCAGATACTGTGCACTGTACCTGTTAGGTGTGAATTTCCCCATTCCCTCCTTGCCCCTCCCACCTGCTTGACTGCCAATGAATTCTACTTCCATATGCACATGTAAGTGTTGAATGATTAGTTCCAATTTAATGGTGAGTACATGTGGTGCTTGTTTTTCCAATATAGTTTTTTTGCCCTAAAAAAAGCAACTATTGTCCGGGTGCAGTGGCTCACGCCTGTAATCCTAGTACTCTAGGAGGCCAAGGCAGGAGGATTGCTCTAGGTCAGGAGTTTGAAACCAGCCTGAGCAAGAGCGAGACCCTGTCTCTACTAAAAATAGAAAGAAATTAATTGGCCAACTAAAAATATATAGAAAAAAATAGCTGGGCATGGTGGCGCGTGCCGGTAGTCCCAGCTACTAGGGAGGCTGAGGCAGGAGGCTCGCTTGAGCCTTGGAGTTAGACATTGCTGTGAGCTAGGCTGACGCCACAGTCCTCTAGGCGGGGGCAACAGAGTAAGACTGTCTCAAAAAAAAAAGAAAGCAATTGTTAAATCTGTGGAGGGCCTTATCATTAATTAGGAAGTTTAGAATTGAAGATATGCCGTATAGCTAGTGCTTGAAACATACAAAATGAGGACTTACGTGAATTCAAGCTGAATAGCATATTCTTTTGATATAAATGGTGTTTGGTCTGGGGCCAAACGCTTTGCCAGCTGTAAAGCACTGTCCCAGTGCTGTAAATCCCTTCTCATCTGTTAAGAAGGGAAAAGTCTTAATTTCAAATGAGCGAACTATTTTGCAAAGTTACCATACAGTGGTAGTTTTAATAAACTTGATCTTTACAAGGATACACTACTATAGCACACATTCTTGGTGAGGGGTGATAAAGTCCTGAAGGGAACAAAAATTGATTCTTGGGGGGCAAAACAATCTTAGCTATTACAATGGCTTGTGGCCCTCCAAAAGTCAAACCTACTCATAATATCTTATTTCTTAGTATTTAGGTTTTTCTCAGTAGGAAGAAATTAAAGTTAAATTAATTAAATTAAAATTAATTTTTCCTTTTAGAGGGGTGATAATAAAGAAAGGTTGAGAAACACTTTGCTATAAGAATTGAAGTTATTTTCTTAGAAAATCTGAAGCTATGCCACAACACGAATAATAGCAAACATAAAATGTAAATGTCTTTTTCTCTGTGGCTCCTGTGGTGTTTTATCTGTGTCTGGCCCATAATTCCAAATATAAACTAATCACTAATAATCTTTTAAAGTTCACTTCTTATTTTATTCACAGTGTATACAGAATTAATAATAGCTAATATTTTTCAAATGCTATTCTTTGCCAGGTGCTGTTCCAGGGCACAAGCTTATTTCTTTTTCACAACTCTCCTTTTGCAATGAACTTTTCTTGTACTCATTTTAGAAACTCAGAAATTGAGGCAAAGAGAGGCTAGTTTTGTACATAAGGTCACATAGCTAGTATGTGGCAGAGGTGGGCAGTAGGGCTCTGTCTCTGACCTCTTTACCTAAATAACTTATCAATCTCCTTTCTCAAGCCATTAACTCCAATTATTTCCAATTCGAGCAGCACATAACAAGCACCCACAACTAAATGAGGAAGAGCTAAGATGGCATCTTTGCCCTCACATATTACAGTCATAATCCTACTTCAGTGAGTGCCAGTCCAAGCTTTAAAAACTGCTCAGGGTGTCCCCAAGTATCTCAAATAATACTGTAAAATTATCTAAATTTTTCTTAAAATTATTCACTTGTAATTTAAAAATGAAAATTTGCTATAGAACAATCTGAAAAAGGAAAATTGTGAAATTAATAACAGACATTTTTTTTTTTCAGACCTGTACCTGCAGAATAACAGACATTTTTAAAACGTCTTTTATACAGTTGTAGAAATGCTCATTTCAGGTGGAATAACATCAATAATTACAATAGGTACCATTCTTGTGTCTTTACTATTGATCAGACACTGTGCTAAATGATCTAATTCTCATTTTTCAATCTTCACAACTGTTCTGTGGCCTATATATTTGTTATTTCTGCTTTAAAGAAGTGGTATCTAGGTCTCAGAAAGGTTAAATAACTTGTCCAAGGTCACAGAGAGCTGGACTTGGACCCAGATGTGTCTGACCCTAAAGCCCATGCTCTTAATCATTTTTCTATGTTGCCACCTCTCCCTTCCTCCCTGCCCTTGAACAAGGTCCTCTGCTTTGTTCTAGTCCCTCTCCTGCAATGCTCACCTCTGGGAAACTAGTCATGGTACACTACTCCTTAGTATATCTCTTAATACACATGAGAATTTTATATAGTAAGCAAAAGGTAAATGAGCCTCAGTTTTTCCATCTGGAAAACAGAGAAAATAATAGTATTCTCTTATAGGATTGTTGTGAGAGTTAAGTGAGTCAATATATGTCAAGTGCTTAGAAAAGTACCTGGCACATGTGAGCACTCAAAAAATGGTGGCTATTTTTCTTTGTATATGTTCTTGTAAATTACACAATCTGTTCTCTTTGGACACATGTAGACTTTAAGTTACTTGACAATGATACAATACCATGCATTTTTATGTACAGAATACATAATGAAAACAATTTTGAAGTTAATGAGTACTCAGAACTGAAATGTTTCAAAGTGAGGAAGAGAAAGGCATGCAATGCCTAGTGCTAAGAAAATTTAACTGTACAGAAAGGGTGATCCTCCTTTTCATGTTCTTCCAACTCTTACTTGCTGCCATACCTCCAGGGCAGCAACAGGACAGCTGGATGCAAGGTACAGGTCCTGAGCCAGGTTGAAATCATTCGTAAACATGGCAAGATGCCCTGCCAAAAGATTGTAGTCCTCTATTCCCTATAAATAAAAGCAGTTTTGATGAGAAGAAATACAAGAGTTTAACTTTTTTTTTCTAAACACTTTGCTCAGTAGGAAGTGGCAATGTTCTATGAATTTACTTATTTATGAGTTATGTAAGATTAACTGCAGAAATTTAAAATGTTTGAACAAATAGCATTTAAATCTTAATCTGTTGCTTCTTATAAAATGCTGTTTACCTTTATTTGTTCCAAGGACATCACTATGCCAACCTCTCTAATTGTCCGATAAACACGGACTGCAAAATCCACTTCCATGTGGTGTAGACAAGCTCTGGCCAATTCATTCCAGGCAGCCCCATCATTCAGAATCCTGCACATTTCCCAAGCATCAGAGAACCTGAGATTTGAGTACATGAATTTAATCAGAGAGCTCTACCTGCCACATATTAGGCAACTTTCAGACTACATTTAATCTAATATCATGCCCTAAATATATTTTGCAAAGCGTTTTTAAGCTTTGTCATTTGCAAGTAATTAAAAAATATTTAAACTTTCTTTTTTCATACAGATGCTTTTTCTTGCATTTCTTGAGTCTATACTTTGTAACCAGCCCTCTCAATTAATAACAATCCTATTTATTTACATTTTATTTCAAAGATAGATGAAAATTATTTTTGTTCTCATATAAGTCTAATAAAATTAGTACTCTGTTTCATAAATTTGGAAGTTTAAAACACAGGTCAGCCAACTATGACCTGTGGGCCAATTCCAGTCAGCTGCCTGTTTTTGTAATAAAGTCTGAGTGGAACACAGCCACTTACTAGCTCACTCATTTATGGGTTGTCTATAGCTGTTTTCGTGCTGCAACAGCAAGCCTGAGTAGTTGCAGAGACCCTGTGGCCCTTAAAGCCTCAAATATCTTCCATTTGACCCATAACAGAAAAAGTCTGCTGACCTCTGGTTTAAAACATGAAGATAGGCTGGGCGCGGTGGCTCACGCCTGTAATCCTAGCACTCTGGGAGGCTGAGACGGGCGGATTGCTCGAGGTCAGGAGTTCAAAACCAGCCTGAGCAAGAGCGAGACCCCATCTCTACTATAAATAGAAAGAAATTAATTGGCCAACTAATATATATAGAAAAAATTAGCCAGGCATGGTGGCGCATGCCTGTAGTCCCAGCTACTCGGGAGGCTGAGGCAGGAAAATGGCTTGAGCCCAGGAAGTTTGAGGTTGCTGTGAGCTAAGCAGACACCAAGGCACTCACTCTAGCTTGGGCAACAAAGTGAGACTGTCTCAAAAAAACCCAAAAAACAACAAAACATGAAGATAGGTGCCAATTGAACTTTTTGTGAAACTTCTACATCTGTGAATATATCCATCCATTTATCCTATTCATTTTTCATCCAACACACATTTACTGAGCATGCTTGGAACCAAGAGACAAAAATCAAACACACACTCATTGTTCTTAAGGCAGTCTTAACTGGGGAAAGTGGAAGAGACAGATAAGTAAACAAATGACAATAACATGGTATGATAAAGGTAACTGAGTGCTTGATATGTGAATCTCTGTGCTAAGACTTCTGTATAAATTTTCTCATTGGATTACCCTATTACTCTATGCACTAAGTATTACTTATTATTTCTCCTATATAGATTAGGGAAGTGAGTCTTGAAGACTTTAATGACTAGACAAGTCACACCAAAGTAAGTGGTAAAATGCTCAGTGTACCTACTGCATCCTGGCCCTGAGGCAACACACCAGAAAGACCCCAACCAGGACTGCCTGTGTGTGTGCGTGGGGCGGGAGGCAGTCAGAGAAGGCTTTCTGGAGCAGGAGATGATGGCTCCCGCGATCATTCAGAGATAAGGAAAGGGCACTCCAGGAAGAATCACAAAATATACAATTCAACGGCCAGTGGAACAGAGAGGAAGTTGAGGGGAGAGAGTTGAGCTGGTATTAAATCAAGCACCTAGGATGTCATGCTGAGGTCCCTGAGGACTTTGGATTTTTTCATAAAGGCAATAGGAAGTCACTGAAAGATTCTGAGCAGGAGAATGAGAACATCAAGATCACATTTTCAAAAGTGTGTGGGAGACCAGATTAGATTGTCAAGAGGCTTTCGGGAGAGAGCGCAGTTAGGAAGAGATTACATTATATATTATTCTAAGTGGAGCCTGAGTCAAGACGGGGAATACAGGAGTAGAAAGGGGTCAGATGTATGTGTGTGCCCGCGCGTGGGAGGGGGGCGTGTGTGTGTGTGATTAGAAGGGAGGGGAATGGAGGTCTGGAGAAGACAATGCATCCAGTCTTAGGGGAAGTTTGAGGAGCTCAAAGACATCCAAGTACATAGAGGAAGGCAGCTGTAAATACAGATTTAAACTGAAGACCCAGATTTTGGAGTCCGCTTCATATAGGTGGTATTAAAACCATGTAAGTAGAAAAGATTCACTCAGAAATAATAATTAGAGCGAGAAGAGAATAGAGCTCATGGGACCCTGATAAATAGCAACATTTAAGACATGGCAAAAATAATTAGAATTGCAAAGGAATTCATAGTGGCCCTACAGGTAAGAGAAAAAAGCAGGAAAGGGAAATCTCAAGCAAAGTAAAAATCAAACTTCATTATGACGAAATAAAGATTGTTGTTGAAATAATTAGCTTTATTAGAATTTCGTAATAACTGGGCTATTCGGGTGCTTAGAAACCTCCTTGTTCTAAATGACTTTTCCTGTAATAAGGTACCCATAACAATAACACCTGATAATAGCACTTCTTTTATCTTATTTGAGCCTCACAATCACTCAGTGAAGTAAACAAGGTAAGTACCATTATTTCCATTTATTTAATAGGATTTGACCTTTAAAAATCACAAAAGCAAATGAGAAGTTTTAAGAGAACTGTTTTAAATCCTACCTTTTTAGCATTAAAGTCTGTGCCAGCATTTGTCTCAGTTCATTAGGCCCCTTATCTTTCAAGCTGTTGAGAAAGCTATGGGTGCTAAGGTAGATGCTGTTTATTTTTCCACTTTGTGTCTGGCAGGTCAGCTCTCCATTATATAGCAGCAGAGGTTTGTGAGAGAAGGGGACTTTGGTGCCACCGGCCAAAATAACCTTGGATCCTATGTTATAAAACAGACATCTTAATGCTGAAAGCTAATACTTAACATAAGCATCAAAAAGGAATGTTTTAATTTTGTTTCAATGGAAATTCATTTATCAACAAACATACAAAAAAGTGATTAAGTACCTTGTATAGTATCCTTGTGAAAGACATAAGTATACACCTTATCATCATCGTAAGCGATAAATACACCTTTATCCATTGGCCAGTTTTCCCAAAGAACACCTTTAATGGTTGGTGAAAAATCTGGAATCTCATAGGTAGCATCATTAACCTACAAAATAAAATTTATAGATTTGCCCCAAGTCTGTACTTAAATCATTATCATTTGCCTTGGTAGGAGCCTGTTTGCAGCCTTAGCTGGTATAGCATGCCAATTCATATGTAACCTAACATCACTCTAACCACCAAGGGAAGAAAGTTTCTTTTCCCATTCCTATACTAAGTCTGGCTTGAAAAAAAACTATAGGTATTTGGCAAATCAAAAGTTTGATCTAAAATTTGGTAAATTTGTAGGAAAACCTACAAGTCTAGACACAAAGCTTCAGGTTAAGAAAAAAAGTTGAAGCTGCTCAAGATGACAGAACTAAGAACATACTTGTGTTTAGAAATTTTTCAATATTCCATAAGTATTCAGTAAGATTTGGTATTAAGAGACAAAAATTCATTCATACATGATATGACATTTAAATAAATTGCACTGGGGAGGCCGGGTGCGGTGGCTCACGCCTGTAATCCTAGCACTCTGGGAGGCCGAGGTGGGTGGATTGCTCGAGGTCAGGAGTTTGAAACCAGCCTGAGCAAGAGTGAGACCCCCGTCTCTACTATAAATAGAAAGAAATTAATTGGCTAACTAATATATACAAAAAAAATTAGCCGGGCATGGTGGCACATGCCTGTAGTCCCAGCTACTCGGGAGGCTGAGGCAGTAGGATCACTTGAGCCCAGGAAATTGAGGTTGCTGTGAGCCAGGCTGACGCTACGGCACTCACTCTAGCCTGGGCAACAAAGCGAGACTCTGTCTTAAAAAAAAAAAAAAAAATTGCACTGAGGGATGTTTTATTTCAAAAAACTTCTCTAAAATGCATTACAACAAACATAAATATATAATTGTCCCTCTGTATCCATGAGGGATTTGTTCTAGGACCCACCCCACAGACAACAGAATCCACAGATGCTCAAGTTCTTTATATAAAATATTTGTATTTATATATAACCTATGCACATCCTCTTTAAATCATCTCCAGATTACTTATAACACCTAACACAATGTAAATAATTGTATTGTTTAGGAAAGACACAGACACAAAAGTCTGTTCGTGTTTAGTACAGATGCAACCATCCATTTTTTTCCCCTAAATATTCTGTAGTTTGTTTAATCTATGGATGCGGACCCCACAGATACAGAGGGCTAACAGTACTATTATAGTAATTTACACTATTAGAAAATCAATCCATATAATTCCTATGAACTCAGATAGACAGACATATATATTGAATAAAGAACTAAGAAATACCTGCTTTCTTCCTACTGTCTTCCTTTCAAAATAAGAATGAATACAAAATTCCTGCAATTAACAACTAATACTATGGAGCTGTGTTGTCTAATACAGTAGTTCCTAGTACAATGTCCAAGTATAGTAAACGATCTAAAAGCACATACCCTTTTTTCTAAATCTATTTTTAAAAAGTTAAGGATGTTTAAAAATAGGAGTGACTGACTTTTAAAATGGGTCCATCCATTTTTACTCATCCAGTACAAAAATACCTTCTCCTTGTGTTCAGGATTTTTAAGGAAAGAGGAAAAGCAACTGTAGGCAGAAAAGACAGAGTAAATCCCCTGCCTCTGATACTTACTGCATATTTGGAGAGAAAAGTCATGTAGAGGACGACACACTGTAATAACTGTATTATTATGCAGTACATGATCAGGTTAAAACTGGTATAGAATATAATAATTATTTTTCCCATTAAAAATCTCTCTGGGACTGCCACGATGAAAAATTGCAGAATGGAAAAAGTTTTGACATAAAATAGTCATGAAAATCTATCACAAACATGGTATCATGCAGATGATAGCAAAGTATGACAATTTTTAGCATTGTTTAAAAGGAAACTTTGGCCAGGCACGGTGTCTCATGCCTGTAATCTTAGCACTCTGGGAGGCCGAGGCAGGCGGATCGTTTGAGCTCAGGAGTTCGAGACCGGCCTGAGCAAGAGGGAGACCCCGTGTCTACTAAAAAATAGAAAGAAATCAGCTGGACAACTAAGAAATACACACACACATATAGATAGATAGATAGATAGATAGATAGATAGATAGATAGATAGATAGATAGATAGATAGACAGACAGACAGACAGACAGACAGACAGACAGACAAAAATTATCCAGGCATGGTGGTAGCATGCCTGTAGCCCCAGACTTGGGAGGCTGAAGCAGGAGGATTGCTTGAGCCCAGGAGTTTGAGGTTGCTGTGAGTTAGGCTGACACCATGGCACTCTAGCCGGGGCAACAGAATGAGACTCTGTCTCAAAAAAAAAAATAAAAGAAAAGAAAATTTTATATGAGAAATATTTTCTTCTTATATTGCATTTTAAAAAAATAAGCATTTATAAATTTTCTAGACTTACTGGACAGTAGACAAATCCATCACTTTTTTCATCAATGAAAACTAATCTGGTCCCATTTGGGTCAGGAAAAATCTTTTTCACACCAACAGGATGTCGATAATCATTAACAAATTGCCAATCTTCAATGTAGAAATACTGAATGACACCAGTCTAAAAAAAAAAATCCAGTCTTGAGCATATAAAAATCCAGTCATGAGCATCAAGAAAATACTGACTTTTAGCATTTAAGTTAAACATTCTTCCTAATTTTAAGAGAAAAATGTCATATTTTTGATGAAGAGTTTAAGAATAATATTTAATATATGTTGAAAGATATAGTCCCAACAAAATAAGTAAAACGGGAATATACATGGGATTAAACAGTCTATTAATTCTAATATTTTTAGTGCTATTAAAGCATAATTTATTTTTATATTTTCTACTTGCTGGGAATACTCTTATTTTTTAAGATTAACTTTTTTTTCTTTTTATTGAGAAGGATTAACTTTCAAATGTGCTACCTTCAAATATTTTTTGCTGTTAATAAATAGATGAATCAGAAAATTGATTTTAAGAACAAAAAACTCACCTGATACAATCACTTGTATTTCTATACATTAGCAATGAACATGTAGACACCAAAATTAAAAATACAATACCATCTATAATCAACTCCAAAATGAAATACTTGGGTATAAATTTAACCAAACATGCACAGGATTTGTATGTTGAAAACTACAAAACACTAATTTCTTTTAAATCCAGGATTTAAATAAATGGAGAGGTATATACTGTGTTAATGGATTGGTAGACTAAACATAGTAAACATGTTACATTCTTTCCAAATAATATAAAAGTTTAACAATTCAATAAAAATCTCAAAAAGATTTTTTTTATAGGTACAAACAAGATTATTCTAAATTTTATTTTATTTTTTGATACAGAGTCTCACTCTGTTGCCCTGGCTAAAGGGCCATGGCATCAGCCTAGCTCACAGCAACCTCAAACTCCTGGGCTCAAGCGATCCTCCTGACTCAGTCTCCTGAGTAGGTGAGACTACAGGCACGTGCCATGACATCTGGCTAATTTTTCTAGTTTTAGCAGAGACAGGGTCTGTCTCTTGCTCAGGTTGATCCCGAACTCCTGACCTCAGGTGATTTTCCTGCTTTGGCTTCCCAGAGTGCTGGGATTACAGGCGTGAACCAACGTGCCTGGCCTAGATTATTCTAAAATTTATATGGAATGGTAAAGGAACTAGAAGAGCCAAAACAATTTTGAATACAAAGAGTAAAGTGGGAAATTAGTCTGCCCAATTTCAAGGGTTTCTTTTTATAGCAAAGTACTCAAGGCTATGATACTGGTGGAGGGACAGACACACAGGTGCAACAGAGAAGCCAGAAATAGACACAGATATGCCCAAATGATTTTTTCCCTGTTTTTAAGATGCCTGCACTTTTATTTTTAATTAATAGCTTCATTGATATAATTTACATACTATACAACTTCATGGCTTTTAGTATATTCATAGAGTATGCAACACTTTATCACAATCAATTTTAAACAATTTTAATACATTTCATCACCTCAAAAAACTCCACCTAGCAGTCAATCCAGATGCCCTTCAATGGGTGAATTGTTAACTTGCTACATCCATACCATGGAATGCTACTCAGCAATAAAAAGGAACAAACTATTAATAGACACAACTTGGATGAGTCTCCAGAGAGGTGTGTTGAGTGAAAAAAAACCATCCCAAAAGGTTGCATATTGTATGATTCCATTTATATACCATTACTGAAATGGCAAAATTATAGAAATGGAAAACAGATTATGTGTTATTAAAATACCCATTAAGAGACAGGAGCAAAGTAGGTATGGCTATAAAACAGCAACATGAGGGATCCTTGTGGTGATACAATTGTGCTGTATTTTGATTCCTATCAATGTCAATATCCTGGTTGTGATAATGTACTATAATGTTACCATGGGGGGAAAGTACATTAAGGGTATATAGGACTTCTCTTTGCATTGTGTTTTTTTTTTTTTTTTTACAACTGCATGTGAATTTACAAGGATCTCAAAATAAAAAGATTAAAATAAAACACATGATAACATCTTGGATTTCTATTTAGGTCAAGATGGAATAAGACACTAGATTTACTTTCCTACCCCAAACAACCAAAAATCATGGACAAAATGCATGAAACAATAGTTTTTATGATATTGGAATCAGGCAACAAAGGACACTGATTGTTTCTCTGTTGGGAAACAAACAGGGTGAGCCAGACTGGAAAAACTTATAACTCACAAGGCATTGAGTAGAATACTCAGGAAAGTCTTGCCTCAGGAATGGGAAATAAATGGCTATAATTGAGCACTATTTCATACCTGCCAAACAATTCATAAAAGACTCCAAAGAGTCACACTGTTTCCAAATAAGTTAACTGCATCCCAGAAGAAAGTTCAAAAATATTTTAGGAATACAAAAATATCCAGCACCCCAAAAGGTAAAACTACCAGACATGCAGGAAAACAAGACCATAATAAGGAGAATAATTATCCAATCAAAACTGACCCAGAATTGATCCAGATATTATAATTAGCAGATAAGATCATTAAAGGTTATAACAACCATATTCATATGTTTAAAAAGATCACTGGAGACATGGAAAATATTTAAAAAAATCTTCTACACATGAAACCTACCATATCTAAAATAAAAATACCTTGGATAAGATTAATGGCAGATTAGACATGATAGAAAAAAAGACTAGTGAGTTTGAAAATACAACAGTAGAAACTATTCAAAATGAAACAGAAAAAAGAATAAAACACTTAAGGAGCATCAGCTGTGTGATAGCTTTACGCAGTGTATTGGAGTCCCTGAAATTAAGGAGAGAAAGGAAGGAGAATATTGAAGAAATAATAGCTGAAAATGTTCCAAATTTGATTAGAATGATAAACCTCAGATCAAAATAGCTCAACTCCAAGAAATGTAGAAAAACTACATCAAGACAAATTAGAATCAAATTGATCAAAAACAGTGATAAAGAAATCTTAAAAGCAGACAGAGGAAAATACAGATTACACACAGAGGAATAAGGATGACAGATTTCTTGTTTGAAATAATGCAAGCAAGGTGACAGTGGATCAACATCTTTAAAGTACTGAAAGAAAAATATAGTTAACCTAAAATTCTATACCTAGCAAAAATATCTTTCAAAAATGAAGGTAAAATAAAGATATTTTCAGACACAAAAGCTAAAAGAATTCATTTCCAGCAGACCAGACTATAAATAATGATAAAGGTCGTCCTTTAGGTAGAAGGAAAAGATATCAGAGGGAAATATGAACCTACACAATAGAATGAAGGGGTACCAAAAATGGCAAATACATAGATAAGTATTCATTAATAAGATTTTTTCTTATTATTTAAGTCTCATTAAGAGATAAATGGCTGGGTATAGTGGCTAACGTCTATAATCCTTGTACTCTGGGAGGCTGAAGTTGGAGGATTGCTTGAGGCCAGGAGTTTGAGACCAGCCTGAGCAAGAGTAAGCCCCTATTTCTACAACAAAGTTGTAGTTGGGTGTGGTGGCCTGTGCCTGTAGTCCCAGCTACTTAGGAGGATCACTGGAGCCCAGGAGTTTGAGGTTGCAATGAGCTATAATGACACCATTGCACTGGGCGACAGAGTGAGACCCTGTCTCAAAAACAAAACAAACAAAAGATAACTGATTATTAAACAAAACTAATTAATTTTTATGAGGTTTATAAATTTTATGGAGTTTATAAATCTGTAAAAGTAAAATGTGTGACAATAGCACTAAGATTGTGAGGGGAGAAGTGGACATGTACTATTCTAAGGTTCTTATACTATACATTAAGTGGTATACTATCGCTTAAAGGTACACTGTGATAAGCTGAACCTAAAAAAACATTAAAATAACAGAGTTATAGTTAATAAGTCAACAAATGAGATAAAAATCAAATAACAAAAAATACACAGTCCAAAAGAAGGCGAAGAAGTAGAAAAAGGTATCAAACAACAGATAAGAAAAATAGAAAAAACAAATAGCAAGATGATATACTTGAACCTAAAACATACAGATAATTAAATTATATTTAAAGGTATAACCTCCCCCATTAAAAGGCAGAGAGATTATCAGATTGTGAGAGCCACGTTTATGCTACTTACAAAAAAAAAACCATTTGCACATAAAGACATAAGTTAAAAACAAAAGAATGGAAAAAGATAAACCAAAATAACATTGTAGAAAACTGGAATGGCTATATTAATATCAGACAAAATAGATTTCAGACCAAAAAGTATTACCAGTGATTTTAAAAAGTCGTTTCAAAATGATAAAGGAGTTAATCTGTCAAGAAAATATAGTTATGCACGAACTCAAAACCAAAATAAGCAGGAAAAAGAAAATAATGATTAGAGTAGAAATCAATGAAATAGAAAAAAAGTAAAACAATGGAGAAAAAACATGAAACAAAAAGCTGGCTCTTTGAAGACATTAACAAAATAGATAAATTTCTAGGCAGACCAATCAGGAAAAAACGACACAATCACCAATATCAGGAATGAGATAGGACTGCAAACTGGATGCTGTCACAGCGACAAGAAAAAAAAAAAAAGGTAAATTAAAGAAGAAAAAATTAATAAAAAAAAAAGGAATGAGATAGGTAAGATTACTACAGATTCTATAAATATTAAAAGAATAAAGAGTATTATGAATAATTTTATGCCTATATATTTGATAACTTAGATGAATGGATAAATTCCTTGAAAGACACAAATAGCCACAGCTCACTAATGAAGAAACAGATAACCTGAATAGCTTGATATCTATTTAAAAAATTTAATTTGGAGTTTAAAATCTTTGTATAAATAAAACTCCAGGCTCAGATGGCTTTGTGGTGGAAGAGCTCCTTGCAATATCCACACAGGCCACAGAGGCAAGGTTCAAATATAGTGTGACCCACATCCTGGCAGGAATGTGGCAAGACAGGCTGTCTTGTAAAAAGCTGTCACAAGTCATTTCTCATTCATCTATCTTATGTGACACTTTCAAGAAACAGTTTCTCATTTGCTTCCCTGCTTCCAATAATGCATGGGACTATCCAGTTTGCCCTCTTTAGGGTACAGCTGCAGAGTAAAA